GGGGGGGTAACTGTGTCGTTCTGTCTCTCAACATGGTGAGTGTGTGTGTGTGCCTGCCTGGGGCATGGAGATGTGGTCTCCGTGTGTGTGTGTGTGTGTGTGTGTGTGTGTGTGTGTGTGACTGTCTTTCATCCTGTCTTTCGCACCCCACCTTTTAGAAGAGTCTTAACCTGCAGGCCCTTTAGCTGCCTTCAGTATCGGAGTGCCCAGACTCCAGGGCAGAATTGTGTACCTGGTATCCATATCAGCTAGCCTGGTGGCATGGTGGCTTAAGGGTCCCACTGCTAGCAGGGTTTGAAGGCACCAGCCACCTGCCACTGGTATGACAGCCCCCTTCTGTCAAGATGGACAGCCTTAGAAACCCTGTGGGGTGGCTCAGCTCTGTCCAGTAGGATTGCTCTGAGTCCGTCCAACGCCACAGCTACGGATTTGGGTTCAGTTGGTATATCTACTAGTGGGTGTTGGGGGCACTACTTGTCCGTCACGTTATCCCACCGTGGCGGCCTGGATGTCGCTCTGACCCTGGCAGCTACGTCGCCGGTGTTTCACACTTTCAAAAGTCTCCACCACTGAAGCCACCAGACGACTGCGTGACGCGTGGAGGAAGCCCGAAGCTCCATCTGGCTTGGCTCCACAATCCGCGCTCTTGGAAGCAGCAGTCAAGAGCTCAAATGGTAACAAATAGAAAAACAATAAAAAAAAAACAAAAAGAGATCAAAGGGTGTGCTGCACTGGTATGTCTGCCGTGCGTAGACCTCGTTCCAGGGATAGAGAGCCCCGTCTTTCTTCTGCGGAGCTGGCTGGTGGTTTTGAACTGCTGACCCTGGGGTTAGCAGCCCAACGGCATAATCAGTAACTACACCATCAGGGGTCTCCGCTCAAGACCTCTCGAGGGTGTTGAAAAGCAGGGAGGTTATTTTGAGGACTAAGGCCCACCTGACCCAGCCCATGGTATTTTCAGCCTCCTCAGATGCGTGTGAACGTTGCGCCCCAGGAAGGGAGATCGGAGAAAATTCAACCCCATTTGAACGGTGGTGCTGGCGGTGAAGAACACTGAACGTCCCATGGACCCTTCCACAGAACAAACAGGTCTGTCTTGGAAGAAGGACAGCCAGAATAAGCACACTCCTCAGCAGAGTGGATCATGAGGCTTCATT